ATGCTGCAGACCCTGATCGACCACCAGGGACAATTCACTGACATTTGTGTGGGGTGGTCGGGCCGGGCACACGATGCCCGTGTCTTCCAGAACTTATACGTGTACTGCAGGCTGGGACATTCTTTCTGGAGTGCAACTTTGCCATCGGGGATATGCAGATGCTTATGTGCATCGTGGCCGACGTGATGTACCCCTTTATGCCCTGGCTCATGAAGCCGTTCACTGGACACCTGAATGCGAGCAGGGAGCTGTTTAACTCCCACCTGAACCAGGCTTGCTTCCAGATAGATTGCGCCTTGGAGCATCTGAAGGGCAGGTTTAGATGCCTGCTCACTCGCCTGGATGTGCAGGATCACAACACTCCCGAGGGGTTGTGTGCTGCACAACCTGGTGGAGAGGAAAAGGGAGGTCTTCCTCCCAGGGTAAGGACACAGACTGATGTGGAGGGGGAGGCAGTTTGAGCAGCCCCAGACAGCTGCCAGCCACCAAGCCCACGAGTCGGGATTGCAAATTCGGGAGGCCATGAGGGAGAGATTCTCCCAAGGAGCCCAGTGACTTCCTCCCCAAACCCATCCCTACCCCACTTTGTGTACACACACACACACACACACACACACACACACACACACACTTTACAAAATGCTTTCAGTTTATTACATACAACTGTGCAACAGACAATATAACTCTTTTGTAATGAAAAATAAACTTTTAACAAATTAAAGTGCTTCCCTCACTCACTCACTGGTGGGAAGGGAGATGTAAACCTGGAAGGGGGGGGGGGGGAGGGAAGCTCAGGGCTGAATAGGTCCTGCCACCTCGGGACGGGGGACTGCTTGGAGACCACCATGTATGCAGCCTGGAACAGTAGGGGGTTGGGCAGAAGGTGGGGCTGCACCGGGGTCTGGGATGGCAGGGGGTGAGGAAGGGGGCAGGCTGAGCAGGAACAGGGACAGGACCTGGGAAGGCCATCGCCTCCCGGATAGTAGTGCAAACTGCACTGTGCTGCTGGACAAACTCATCCAGCAAGAAACTATGCCACTCTGCCTGCGTGCTCTGCGTAAATGTGTCCTGCATCCCTTGCAGGACTGAGATGGGCTGGCATGTCAGGTCCAGGTATGTGCACCAGTGCCAGTGGGTCCCACGCAGCCATCTGGGTGGTGGGACAGGTGTGGTGCTCCCCTCCTAGACAGCTGGTCCGGCTTGGAGGACAAGAGGGAAAAGTAGTCAGTCATTCATGCTCACACTGTCTCTGAGGGCATGCCCTCCTCAGCAATCAGTGCATGTCCTAGGATCAGGGGATGATCATGTGGTCTCAGCAAGGCATCATGTGGCCTGACCAGCAGCCATGGCCTCACTGGAGCCCAGATGTGCAGGCCACCAACCTGTCCTCTTCTCCCCCCCACACACACCATAGCCAAGCAGCATAGACAAGTGTCAGGCCACAGTTGGGGTTTCCACAGGTTGCTGAGAGGCCTGGAGCTGTGTGGCCATCCCAGGGTCCCCAATCCATGCCTGCAGCTGGCATCACTGTCTGCAGGAGCAGGTGATGCCTTGCACCCATGTGGATGCGGGGGTAGGATGACCCTCCATGTGGTCAGCCACCTGGAGCTGCGTGGCCATCCCAGAGTCCCCAATCCATGCCTGCACCTGGCATTACTGTCTGCAGGAGCAGATGGTGCCTCACAGCCATGCGGGTGCAGGGGTAGGATGACCCTCCCTGCAGTCAGCCATGTGTGGGGCCCCCCAGGTTCTGATCAGCATGCCACGTCACAGTACTGCACCAACCATTTTGCTCCCATCTCCCCTGCCCTGCGTATGTTGGACCCTCACAGCACTCACCTGATGTTCCCTCCCCGATGTCCGAAGTTGTCTGGGAGGCCTCCTGCATCTGGGTATCCAGCTCCTAGGTGAGGGTCACCGTGCTCCTGGTGTCCTCCTCCTTGTCTTGGAGCTACTTGTCCTCAGGAATGTCATCCTGGAGCTGCTTCTGATCAGCATGCCACGTCACAGTACTGCACCAACCATTTTGCTCCCATCTCCCCTGCCCTGCGTATGTTGGACCCTCACAGCACTCACCTGATGTTCCCTCCCCGATGTCCGAAGTTGTCTGGGAGGCCTCCTGCATCTGGGTATCCAGCTCCTAGGTGAGGGTCACCGTGCTCCTGGTGTCCTCCTCCTTGTCTTGGAGCTACTTGTCCTCAGGAATGTCATCCTGGAGCTGCGGCCGCTGTTGCACAGGTGTCTCCAGACTCCACTACCTTCTCTGGAGACAGGGGTTCCCCTGCCCCCAGGATCCAGTCCAGGTCCTTATACAGCCATCCTTGAGTTGCGAACATTCAGCTTACGACCGTTCGCAGTTACAACCAAAGCGGTCGTAAATGGCAGACCCTGAGTTAAACGCAATCCGCACTTACAAACAGCGCAGTTGCGTGTAACTCAATGGGGTCCGACTTACAAACGAACCGAGTTACAACCAATTGCTTGGTCCATAACCAGTTCGTAAGTTGGGAAGAGGCTGTAATATGCACAGTAGTGTGCAGCTTCCCCAGAGCAGGCACTGCGCTCACAGGCCCTAACATACCGCTGCCGCAGCTCCTTGACCTTTGCTCTCCCTTGGTCTAGTATGCGGGGATGGTGGCCTTTCTTAGCAAGGCCATTTGGGCATAAATGTCTGCATTTCTCCTTCTGGACTGCAGGGCCTGCAGAGACTCCTCCTCGGACCAGCGCACCAAGATCTCGGGGCCAGACCATGATGGTGCCCCTGGCTTGGTACGGGGATGTGTCCCTAGAAGGGCCAAAGGGGTCTCATGCCTGTGACATGGCTGTAGTGGGCCTACCAGAAAGTGCCGAGCAGTCAGGGTCCTGCTTGGAGCTGGCTTGCTGCCACAATGCTACGCCGGAGTGCCTGTGCCTTTAAAAGATGGCTAGAGGCAGGAACAATAGAGGTGAAAGGTCTGGCAAGGAGTGTCCACCAGGGCTTTTTCCTAGATGCCTTTTTAAAAAAAAAAAATTTTAAACACACACCACACACCTTCCCCCCGTCCACCTATACCTTTTTTCGACTGATCTGTTGAAAATAACATTATTCCTCATAAAACAAGGTTTACCGCCATCGACAAAACTGCTGTGTTCTTTCGATTTACTGTCAACAGAATAGGGCAGCAGTCTAGACGCAGGTAAAGATTTGAAAAAATCCCTGTACTCTAGATACACCCTGAGTGGCCAGACCTGCAGAGGCTCAAATAAACAAAGTGTCTGGCAGCCTATTAGAGCTAATCCTGGTGAATTGCTTCCAGCCTATGGGCCACCTACTGCTGGGCTACTGTTAGCCTTCCTCAGGCACTTGTTGCTGGATCCCAGAGAGGAGTGAGAAAAAAACAGGCTAGAAAACCTATTAATCATGAAGCAGTAAGATAAAATAGCCTCTGTATTCTAGCTCGGCTTAGGCAAAAAGCTTTTTAAATGTTTCAGTAGGTCAGCAGGGAGAATCAAATAGTTGACTTTATTACATGGCCAGTAATATGTTTGCTTGCCATGGAAACCAGTCAGTCAGAGATAGGAGGGCTACTTCAATTTAGAAATCCTGCTTACTCAAAGAAGGATCTTTGCAAAACTGCTTTAGAAGAAAAACATAAGTGATTTAGTTTTCTACTGTATTTACTGCTGTTTCTAGCTTAGGTGTCTTTTCAATCCAGTTCAAGAAAAAAAAGCAATATTGCAACACCTATTCATATCCTACATTACTATACTAAAGTAGGGTGGTCTACACAAAGTAGAAAGAAAGGCATTGGTGGAATTGTGATCCTTTATAGAGGATGAATCTCTCTAGTCTGGGACCTTGGGCCCTGACCAGTGCTCAACTGGAAAACTTGCTGAACCACAGGAAGTCAATATTGTCTAGCAGCATTACTAGCACTTTCACTGCGTATTGGGCACTTAGACATTTAGGGATAAAATGAAGTTAAACAACCGTTCAAAACACTAAGTCAGAACTGGTGGCTATAAGCAAACTTTATGGGACCATGAGAAACTTGGTCATCTCTCTGAAAAGTGGACAGCCGGCTAACTAAAGTCATGCCAGACTGTGGCTGGACTAGAGAGTGCCAGAATAGAGACTTTCAATTTGTCATGTGTTTTACTTGCTGATTTACAGCCTCTGGTGAACTTTAAGTCTCATGCCAGGAACTGTTCATGAATTACATTTTTGTTACTAGATGCATAGTAAATTCCTGAATCAGGTTCTAGAATGGAACAACTCAGCCCAGCTAAGAGGCTGAAAGTGGTCATGAATAAGAGGATTCTAAGTTCTTCCCAGTTACTTGGGGTATGTCTGCACTGACTGCTTATTACAAAATAAGCTATTCCAGAATAGTTATTCCAAAATAGCATGTCTGCACTGCAGGGAAGCCTCAAAATTAGTCTGGGGCAGGCTTCCCTAATGTAGACGTACTATCACGATTTAGAGCCCCAGAAGGCACGGACGAGGAATAACTGACACTGGGAAGGGGTTATCTATACATGCCTTATTTCGAAATAGCTATTTCAGAATAGGTGTTATTCCACATAGCATGAGATGTACAGATTTCAGAATAAGCCATCTGTTATTCTGAAATTATTTCAAAATAATGGAATGGCTATGTAGATACATACATTGTTATCTCTAAATAATTGTGCTGTGTAGACTCAGCCTTAGCAAGCAGGGGATAGCAAGAAGAAATATTTTACATGTAAATTCAGTTTTCAGATGCATGTGGAGAAAAAAAAAAAAGCTTAGATTTATAAGTAGGTATGACTTTTCCAAAGAATGGCTTAGGTCTGAAGTTGTAGCTGTGCTGTTAATGAGAATGCTCCTGTATTGCCAAAGTATAAAGATTTTTAATTAAGCTGCTCCCATCTAATAGCACTTCACCTCTCGTGAATATGCTGTCAAAGTGCAGAAATGTAGTATAGTGGTGTCCATAGAAAGTTGTGTAGAAGCTTTAGAATTTATAAAAGGCAAATTTTTGAAGTTATTTTTTTTAATTGCTTCCAGTTCATTCCAAGCTCAGTGATAAGACATTTGGCATATGTTAACAATTTGATAACCTACCACATGTGCCAGACCTGTACATAAAACAAGCAACTTCCAAAGTACATAAGTGGATACAGTCAACATGTAAAGCAACATAGTCCTCTTATAAGGTCTGTAAGCTACGTAATTGGTGAAGTTTAAAGAATGGATCTCAGCGATTAAGCAGAAATGGAGTCTTCAGTGGTGCAAACAGTATAGCTTCTTTTTTTTTTTTCTTTTGAGTAAAACAAGAGTCTTGAGTACACATTTTAATCAGAAAGGTCTGCATTCTAGAGCAGTGACTCTTGCATGGGATTTGCAGGCAAGTTTACTACAGCATGGTGAAGGTTTAAAAAAAACCTGATTCCCGTAACTGATCAGTAATGGCTTGTTAGAAATATTTTTGCAGCCACCCAAGATCAGGTTCTTAAAGCAATATTTCTACATTCAAAGTTATTAGTGCATTCACATTTCATTTCTACTCCATTGCAAGATTCAGTATTAATATCATAACATAAGTTTTAGAATCACCACCATTGGAAACTATTACAGTGATCACCATTTTTCCACAGCTGAATAATTCAGGAGTTAAAAATATGAAGTGAAGAACTCACAATATAGTGTACTATGGTAAACATACTGGCTCAAATACTAGACCAGCAGCATTAGGTATCTCACATTATTTGGAGTATTCAGAAACTCTTAGGATATTAAGTCTAATCATAGGACCCACAGTGAAGTCTGAGTGCTGGTTAAGATTATGACCTTTGCTTACATGCAACAAATACAGTTTAGGATTCAACATGTTTTGACTACAGTAGATTACTGTACAGTTGCAGAAACCTACTATAACTTATTTGTAATGTTGAAGCAGAAATCCTTTTCCTGTGGCTTGGAGTAATCTTCCAAGTGTGATGTCCAATTTAGGGAAATGTTGCACTGAAGCCAAAGGAGCAAAGTAAACCTTCAGTTTGGCAGTACATGTAGAATGAGTGACAATTGCTAATAATCAATCACAGTATCCAAAGGAAGTTATAAATTCACATAGTATATGTATAGCATCAGTAGGTTTGTCTAAAGTTTTTTAAAGCAACATTTGAGATTGCTTTTAAAATCAGGGATATATCCTTTCAGTACTTAAGCATAAAAGTGTCCCGTCCCCAAAAAAAGCCTGGCTGATATGATCTATTTTTTTTCCCCCTCAAAAATACTTTAAACACAAACAAACTATTTTATCAAATTGATATAAAGCTAAGTGATAAATAAAAGCACATCTGGTGGAAACCGACAGTGAAGAACATTTATAAATGTGCTTAGTTTTTGCTTGCAGCATCTGACAGTGGGTAGCAGGACAGATGGGAATCTCACTGGGTCTCCTCCTGAATCTGTTCTGAAATAGTTTCTGTGGCACTGGCATTGGCAGCTGAGTTTAAAACTTCTTCAAAGTCACCCCCAGCAGGCTTAGCTCCTCCGACTTTAGACTAAAATGAAGATAGGTTAAGATAAACCCTTCAGAAAGTGTAGTTGCAAATACAGATAGCTGGGTATTTTAACAAACAGGTTTTGCAGTTTGACAACACTCTATTGTTAAGGAGATTTGGGAATTTTATCCCTTTGGAGACACTTTTTCCAGGATCAGATGGCCTCTTATATGGAGTTCTTATCAGCACGCTGTCATTTTATGAAAGAATTTAGACTGAGATACACTGAAGGGAATAAAAGTTGTAACCCTCCAATCTGTAGCTTAACACAGAAGTCTCCCTTAGCCTGTAGCATTGCAAAAATAGTCCTGATCAGCTTGCTGCAACAGCCTGAACTCAGGATATGCTTTATGAAGATTGTACAGCTTTGAGTTGAGACATCCTACATAGGTTTTGGAACATTAAGTTAAAAGATTAACTCTTATTGTACACAACTCTGAAAGAGCACCAAGAGGGGGGAAAAAACCCACACACAGTTTCAGCCACAAGGGACACATCCTGAAGCTTTCTAGCATTTGGGTAGAGCACATCCACTGCGACACCCCTTTAGACACTGTATAACATTTAGCCACCTCCTCTTATCTAGGGAGATGCATTCCCAGAATTCATGAAGAAGTTCCTAAACTCCTTCAGTGTAACAAGCCATTATATAGGATGCCAGTGGGGGAAAACAAGTTCCTTATGAACATCTCCCCAACCCCAAATTCCTATATAAGGGATCAACCTGGTCCATAATATGAAGGCCTTTATACTAAAAAGTTAATTGAAACAGCCACAACACTGAACTCTGCTTATTGAGGCCTCAGCACCAATTTCAGAAACGGGGGAATTAAGATCATGTACAATGGAATTGCACAGCTGTGTTCCTTGCCTTCCAATAGCAGAATTAAGTGCGTGTTCCCAGTATAAGCTAAAAATGGGGTTTTCAAACTGTAGGTTATGGCATGTAAAGGTAAGCCACTAGCTGGCTGTGAGACGCTTTGTTTACCTGGAATCTTCAGGCATGGCCGCTTGCTGCTCCTACTGGCTGTGGTTCAACATTCCTGGCCAATGGGAGCTGCAGGAAGTGGGAACCCAGCCTGCACCACTTTCTATAGCTCCCAGCGGCCACAGTATGCTGTTTCAGGCCAGTGGGAGCTGCAAGTGGCCATGTCTGCAGACACTAGGGCTGTGTCCAGACTCAGGGGTTTTTTCGGGAAAAGTAGCCTTTTTCCGAAAAAACTTCACCTGCGTCTAGACTGCAGCCGCGTTCTTTCGAAATTAAATCGAAAGAACGTGGCTTTTCTTTCGACGGCGGTAAACCTCATTTCACGAGGAAGAACGCCTTCTTTCGAAAGTGCTTCTTTCGAAAGAAGGCGTTCTTGAATGTAAATAGGGCTTCTTCGAAAGAGAGCATCCAGACTCACTGGGTGCTTTCTTTCGAAAAAGCGGCTTGCTCTTTCGAAAGTTCCGCGTGCAGTCTAGACGCTCTTTCAAAAGAGGGTTGCAGTCTAGACATAGCCTAGGTAAACAAAGAATCTCCCAGCCAGCTAGCAGCTTATGCTTACAAGCCATGATCCAAAGTTTGAAAACCCCTGAGCTAGAATACAACAGCTTTTCACCTGAAAGTTTAAAAAAAACTCAATCAGTATAGCTTCTGGATATACAAAAGCATGTGCATGTATGAAAGGCAGTTTCCTGGACAAACTTTATTGAAATATCTTAGAACCTCATATTAAATTGCAAATTTGCATCATTGTGGGATTGTACACAACTTGTCCAGGAAAACATGATTCCTGTGAACTTTTGGAAGTGTTACAAGCTTCAAAGGACTCTTAAAAGAAGGGGCTAAGACAAGACTAAATGTTAGTGGAGTAGATTTCCTAAGAAATATTCGTGACGAGGGGAATGCAAATATCCACCTCCAGATCTGATCTACTGAAGCTTTGACCCAAGATAGGGATCTTCATCTACAAGTTCCCAGTCTCAAAGCCCAAATGGCATAAAAGAGCAACTCAGATGTATAGTGTGTTGGTTCTGAGCCAGAGCAGTTACCCACTTGTAACCACCAGGGGCGGCCTGTGAGCCTAGGCCATTGACGGCCGTGCAGTCAGGGGCACTGATCGCGCTTTCCGCCTGGGGCGCCTGCTGCTGCAGCCGGCCACTCCTGGTAACCACAGAAGGGGTGAAGGGCTGTTTTCCAGCCAGAGCCTTGCTTGGAGTTTGGGTGCTCTCGGATACGTCTATTTGCATGCAACTTTACTTTTTTATATGTGTTCTCAGTGCTTTCCCCTTAATAAGCATGCTTGCTTAGAAAGAGCTATGTGCTATCTTAGCTGCAGTCAGTTATGTTGTTTACCAGGCTATGTTTACACTGCAAGGTTTTTGCACAAGAAGTCTTTTGCGAAGAGTTCTTGTGCAAAAACAGGTCCACACCTCAAAGCACATCACAAAAGTGATGTGCTTTTGCACAAGAGTATCCACACTGCATGGATGCTCTTGTGCAGGAAAGCTCTGATGGCCATTCACAGAATGGCCATCAGAGCACCTGTGCTTTTTCCCATAGGGTTTCTTGCACAAGAAACCCCTCTGGAGCGACCACACTTGCCTTTTTGCACAATAGCTGTAGTGCAAAAGGGAGTTATGCCTCACAGAAGGAGGAGTTTTACCTACACCGGCAAAAGCCCTCTGCTTCTGCCATTTTACTGCTGATTTACTTGCACAAAAGTGCATTTGAGATGTGGACAGTCTGCAGGTTTTTGCACAAAACGGCCATTTTGCGCAAAAACCTTGCAGTGTAGATGTAGCCCCACAAGAGAAAGTGAAGTAGGCCTGCCCAGACTGTCTGACTTCGCAGTGTAAATAGGGAGCTGTGCTGCCTAGAAAGAGTTTGGGGGTCAGGAGGGAGAGAAATGCAGGAGGTAATGGCTGGGAGTCCGAGTGAATTGCCTTTTTTGGACCAAATAGAAATATAGGCGCAAATGCCTTGAACTGAAACAAAGTGATCCAGCCCATTTGTGCTGTTCTGGGCATAAAAAGTAGACCAGACAGTAGTCAGTCTTTCCAACTAGGGATTTTCGGACAAAGCCATCATAGCTAGTTATACACCTTTGTTTTACAACAATGTAGTTGGTTGTCAAACAACTACATTTAAATTTTCAAGAGTAGCTGCCATTACATTTCAAGGGAGGGAATTTGAGCAGCACATTCAGGAAAAGACTTCAAAAAAAGTCTCAGCTTAAGTAGCTCAAAGCTGTTTCCAGAGGCAATTAGACTTACCTTTAAGTTTTCAACCTTTTCTTCAAATGATTTGAAAGTAGGAGAATTTCTAAGAGGGAACAGACAGCTAGTGGTTAGCATCTTAAGCAATAAAATGAACATAGTAACACTAGGTTAGTTTTGCAATACTGCAGCCATGTTTCCCTGGCCCTGTGTCAACATGCTTTTGACAGCCCTCAATTTTTTATTTTTTTTAAATAGTAGCTTTTGTACATTTTGTAAAAACAGTTACTCGGCCAGGAGCATGTTGGGGAGAAAGGGGCGGTGTGTTGTCCCAGCCTTCCCCAGCCCAAGCACAATGGGAAGGAGGGCAGACAGCACATGACCTAAAATGTCTAATTGAAGAGCTTCAACTAAAATCCATGTCTAAAAGCCTAAACTTCAAGCCCAGCTGCTCATTTTATTACAATCTCTGCAGCAGTCACTCTTTACATGGCTTAACAGCAGAAGAAAGCTATAAGTCAATCAACTTTCAGTGAAGTTACTCATTGCCTGGAAAAGTGACAGTACTTTACAAAGGCAAGGTGCTAAGGTACTATAGTATGCCATATTTAACCTGTCAGTCTTTTTTCCATTGACTTTTCAAACAGATTGATGACTCAAAAGTTAGCTAGTTCAGTAAGACAATTTAGTCACATCCAGTCACTCTAGAGTCTAATGAATGATTGTTGGGTCATAAATTATAGTGTGCGTCTCAAAGTTAAAGGTTATTTAACAAAAATGAACCTCAAGCTCGGTTAGCTGTTATAGAGTAGCAGAAGATATGATCTCAGTGGATAATACTACACGTCAACCTTAAATATCTCCTTTCTACCTTGTCCCTCTGGAGCAATGGTGGGCAACCTGTGGGGCCCGCATGACATTTTGGTTACCATTGCCCACGTGCAGGGTTTCCAGATTCTTCTGGTTTCTGTCTGCATAGGTTTTTTCCCCGACTCGTATTACTGAAGTGACACACATGTAAACCAATGGCACGTGAAGTGAGGTGCGAGCTGACTGCACACAAGAGTGACTGAGCCATGGGATCCTTCTGCATCCAATCAAAGTGCTGCTATAGTTTAATTGGCACACCCTGCAAATTCTAGATAGACAAGCATAATTAGCAAAACTATCCTATCTTGGTTACAACAATCTTGCAGTCCACTGAGATGGAGGGCCACTCAGGTAGCTTAGGCTGCTCTCAGACAGTCACTACCAACAGTAGTAAGAATTCTCTTCCCAGTCTCTCAGGTAGAGACTGTTGAGCTACAAACAAGGTAAAATGCAGTAACATAAAAGCAGTGTTACTTAGTGGCAGAAGCCTCTATTTGCTTGTTGAGACAAGAAGTGACCTTTTGTCCCCACTAAAGTAAATGGCAAAACACTGACTTCTGTAGGGTCAGTAGGTCACCCCTGGATTCTGTATCAATTGCTACCAATTTGCAGTGTGACCTCATGCAAATAACTTGTGCCTTAATCTTTTTGGCCACATGGAGAATTGCTTATTTCTGATGCAGTCAGGCTTAGTGTTTGTCATATACCTTCTGAATAAGTTTCAGAGTACAACATATTAGGAGTTTTAGATTTGGAGAAAGGCCTTAACTTCAGTTTTCCTTTTTGCTCAGAATCCATTTAGGAGGCCCACATTTATCTTTCAGTTACTCTGATGTGCATTTATACTGTAGGCATGTGCACCACTCCTTTGTTTGGGAAAAACACCAAGCAATAGGAAGTTATATCTGCACGCCTTTCTTGTGTTCTTTAGCAGGAGGGAGACAAGGCAAGCAATTAACATAAGCAAGAAAAAACTGAAGTCAGAGGCTAAACCATCTACTTTCTTCACCTACAGGTGAGTCAGTCTTCTAAAATGAATGGCTGTAGAGCAGTGGTCTCCAACCTTTTTACACCCAAGATCACTTTTTAAATGACAGACCAAGCCAAGATCTTCCTTGAAGCCCCACCCCTTCCTTGAAGCCCCACTCTCTCTATTCTCCTCCTCTCCATCACTCGCTATCCCCAATCCTTATACTGCTGCTTTAAAAAAAAATTCTTCTGTAGGAAGAGGTTTTTCCAACATTTGGCCTGTCTGGACTGAACCAAATGTCAGAAGGGAAAAAAAAAAGCCTTCTTTTGGAAGCCCCCTTATTCCTTGTGGAAAGAGGAATATAGGGGTGACTGGAAGAGCATGTTTGCTCTTCCACTTTAAAAAAAAAAAAAAAACACAGAAGAACAAACAACCCTGGATGCAGAAGAGTTTTTCTGGGATATCTCCAGAATCCTGAAAAACTCCTGCAGTCTAGCCAGACCCTGGCTGGGTTCAGACAGGATGTGTAGTCTCTTGGGTGGGAATGAGGGATTTGAGTGTGGGAAGGGGTGCAAGGTGCAAGTTTTGGGAGGAAATCTGGATGCAGGAGGAGGTGGAGAAGGGGACACTGGCTCAGGGAGGGGGCTCCAGGCTGGGCAGTGTTGGGGTACTAAGCAGTTGGGGTATGTGAGGGGCTCAGGGCAGGATGTTCCAGTGTTTGATAGGCTCAGATCTAGTGTCTGGGGAAGGGGGGAGTGCAGGAGTGGTTGTGGCCAGATGGGGGCTTGGCCCCAACTGGGGGTTTGTTGGCCAGGCTTTATTTTTAAATAAAATACTATGTTAAACACAAAAAGTTTCTGTATTGTCTTTATTTATGAGAATGGCAGGGAACCTGCTTTGAGAGTCAGGGGTCACTGACCCATAGAAAAGTCATTCAGGAGCAGGGGACAGTACTGGGGAGGAGTGCTAGTGGGTTCTGGGGCAGGGAACAGGGTGCCAGTGGGGGCAGGGTGCCAGAAGGACAGGTTTCTGCAGCAAGGGACAGGGTTTGGGAGGGGAGGGGGCAGGGGACAAGGGAGAGGGAGCAGGAGGGCGGGGTACAGGTTGGGGGCAAGGGAGAGGGAGCAAGGTTGGGGCAGGGAGGTCC